TTCACTTAGTTACTTTTATGTATTATAAAATTTCTCCACAAAGCCCATTATAGAAAATAATTTATAATCAAATAAAAATTCTAAATAATTAATTCTAATTTTTCCATTCCTTAATCACACAAGCCACACATCTTCCACCCAAAGAACAAGAACAACGACCATTACTGGATTAACTCTTTCTTAAGTTCCTTTTCTTATGTAAAAGAAAATGTGTTCTAATTCTACATTTGGTTGTATGAACAATAATTATTTTATTTTCTTGATGGTGTTTCATAAAAATTAACAAGGATTCGATCATTAGGATTATTCAAAGTCAATTTAAAATATATTTTGCAATCAAAAAATAAAAAATCTCACATAATGACGAAAATAATTTCACTTCGTGAAGCAAGATGACTAGGGAGTTAGGTGTTTTTGTTTCTTTATCTTATAATTAAATATTAAGTCAAACTTGAGTACGTATATATACATCATCTATAAACTATGTTTTAAGAAAAAAAATTCTTAATTACAACAAATCAATAGCTAATAACATAAGCTTGTATACTGCAACAAATCAAATAATTACTTCCATGTAAAGCAACAACTAATCATCTACCTATTCTACCCCTCAATTAGTATATCTTTTTACAAGTGTGTTATCAATTTTTTTTCAATACAAATACCTTTGTTGAGAGATGACTTTAAGTACTTTGATATTTTATTAAGTGCTTGTATATGGCTTGTTCTTGAAACATTCATAAATTGACTTACAATGCTGGAAGCAACCATAATATCAAATCTAATTATTATTAAATAACTTGTTAGAAAATGAACTCTGCTAGAAAATAAAGTAAAAAGACAAGCACAATTACACAACACAAAGTCTAATCGCAAAGGATGCTGGCCTCTTGACCATTGCTTACTACCCAACTAACGAGACTATCATGAATGTTATGTCCTATACTACGAACCTCCATCTATATTAGTCTCTACAACTTAACGTTCTCTCACTTGGATACTGATCTCTAAATAGCACCGAAATATCTTGTAATTGTCCATTTTCTCAACCATCTTCATGTCTTCCTAATGCGGTGGCTTCTTATCACTAATCATGATGGCCAACCGAGGCAATGTAATGGCTCAACTTATCAATGGTAACTCGTTTTGATCAACATATTGATTAGATTCTCCAATCTTAGAATCTTGTTTAAACATATCACCCTATCATCCAACAATTCTTGGATATAGTGATACTTAAATTGTATATACTTTGTCATTGCATGAAAGAATGGATTCTAGACAAGGTGAATTGCACTCTCACTATCACTAAAGAGTTCGCTATCATTCCGTGCCTTATCCATTTTCTTTAGGAAGTTCTTCAACTAAATCATTTTTTTACCAACTTTTGAAATAATCATATACCGAGTTTCAGTAGTAGAAAGAGCAACACACTTTTAAAGTTGAGCCGACTAACTTACGAGTAATACCACCTAAAATGAAAACATAACATGTTATACTCTTTCTATTATCCGGATCACTACCTAAATTTGCATCAATAAATTATTGTAGAGTAGTATTATCCTTCTTAAAACAATAGGATGTACTTGAAATACCTTTCAAATAACAAAAAATCCACTTTACTCATTCCCAAAGCTTCTTTCCTAGATTTTTCATGTACCTACTAACAACTCCCATTACATGAGCTATATTAAGTCTTGTGTAAACCATATCATACATTAGGCTTCCAATTATTGATGCATAAGAGACTGTAGACATTTTCTTTTGCTCTTCAACTATCTTTGGTGACTCCTACTTTGATAGCTTGAGATGGCTTCCTAAAGGAGTGCTTTTAATCTTCCCATCCCGGATGTTGAATTTGCTCGGTATGTTCTACATGTATTTTTCTTAAGATAACTTCACTATACCTTATGATTTATCTATAGTGATTCTAATCCCAAGTATTGGTTTTTTACGTCCGAAGTCCTTCATCTAAAATTGTTTAGGTAACTATTGCTTGGGCTTATTGATCTCTTTCAAGTAAGATCCTATAACAAGCATATCATCAACTTACAAGAGCAAAATAAGATAATAGTCATCAAATCTCTTAATATAACGAGTCGTGATCCATTTCATATCTCTTGAAATCATTATACACATGAACTCATCAAACATCTTACACCATTGCTCGAGAGTTTACTTCACACCATACGGACTTTTCTATAACTTGCACATAAGTTTTTCCTTATATGAAATTTCAAATCCTTTTGGTTGCATCATATAAATTTCTTCCTCGAGGGCACTATATAGGAAAGTAGTTTTAACATCTAGCTACTCTAAATGCAAATTTTCTCCAAGCAATAATACTCGAACTAGCCTAATAGTAGTCATCTTAATTACAAGAGAGAAAATCTCACCGTAGTCAATTCTTTCTTTCCGTTGAAAGCCCTTTACAACTAGCCTTGCCTTGTGTCTTTTACTAACATCATGCTCTTATTAAACTCTGTACACCCACTTATTATGTATAGCTTTTTTTTTCTTTGGGTAGCCTAGTTAAGGTCCACATTTGATTCTTCTTAAGAGACCTCATCTTTTCTTTCATGGCTAACTCCTACTTGATAGAATCTTTCACTCGTATTGATTCACTAAAGAATTCTTATTCTCCAAGCATCAATAAGAAGAAAATAGTTCAAAGAAGATGAATACCTTTAAGTGAATTTGGACACTTTATTAGATCTCCTTAGTTGAGCAATACGAGTTATTGGTTCCGGTTCAATTTTAGCTTTTCCATCTCTTTCTATTCCGATCATCCGAAAATTGATAACCAAAATTTTTGCTACCTAATATCGGATAAGACTCTAAAAAATTTAAGATTTTTGGTATTTGTATAAATTATTTATGATTTACGGGGATGTGAGTTATTAATAATTTTAGGGATTCACCACTTTGTATTGAAGAAACTAGAAACCTAAAGTAGTACTGGTCAAGAGATTCTAAGATAAGGAGTTGGTTAGGCTTTTAGAAAGATATCGATCACCTAAAAACACTCTTTTTGAATAAAGGCACCACATCTAATTTAGTTGTAACATTTATCTCCCGAGGCGTTTTATTTATGCCAAATTATTTTTAATTTAAATTCTAAGTTTTTTTCTAGGCCAAATTAAGTTTTTTAGTTTTATTTGTGGCATCGTATTGAAACAATTATTGGATCTCTTCGATAAAAGACACATCGGTTCAAACATCGGATCCACTTTAAGTCTTGACATAATCGATATGTCGAAGAACTACCTAATTACTAAAGTAATTTTTTTGGCTAACAATAGTCCCTATTATATAAGCGACTTTGTTAATTTTTCTTAGTATTTTCTCCTTCTTTTTTTCTTAATTAAACATTTTCTCTCCTTTTTCTTCTCTTTCCCCCCTTTTTTTGGGTCTATGCAAAGCTTGTCTAGTCCTGAAATCTTTTTAAGTTTTTTGACTATCTAAATTACTAATTGGGTAATCTAGCCTCTAATCTTATGAACTAAGAGGTAGGAGAAGGTTATTTCACCATCTTCTATACATAGGGTGAGCTTTAATCCAAACGAGAGTTCGAAAGAGTACCAATAGACTTTCATCTTACTCGTTTTCAAATCTTTCTATCTAAGTGCTAATAAGGTTTTAGCTCGGGTTCAAAGCTTTTATTGGTTTTCTTATGGTATGTGCAATAATTCAAAGTAAATATCCAATCTAGTTTAAAATAAAATATGTAGATGAATAAAAATATGAGAAAATAAATTGCTTAAAATGAATGACTTCAAATATATACAAGAAATAAAATTTAAAGTAAGATATTACATAAAATAGATAACTTGAAATTAATTATATGAAAAGATAAAAGACTTAGAAAATAAATAACTTGAAAATAAATGATAAAAATTAATTATATATCTACACACATAATATAAACCATTGGCTATTAATTTTTTTTAATGTTCTAAAATTATTTTTTTCAAAAAAAATAATTAAAATAATGTTTTAGAATGACCACCTAATAATTTTAAAAAAATTTATACTAATATTATTAATTATTTTATAAATAAATATATATAAAAATCAAAAGTACATATTTTCAAAAACGTTTTTAAAAAAAATTGTTTGTTAATTTTTATATTGTTTGGTGCTTTATTTTTTTAATGCGATTTTATTGAAAAAAAATTAAAATGCTCTTTTAATTTTATATTAAATTTTTTATTTAGATTGTTATGTATTTTTATTTAAGAATAAATGCATAAATCTCTTTTTTTATTTATAAAATTTATGAAAAACATAAAAAAGAATAAATAAAAAATAAACTGTTGATTAAAAATTATAAAATTAGATAAAATTTTATCTTTAATTTAATTTTTTTTGTATACCAACAACGTAACACATATTATTAAATTAAAATAAATATATTTAGTTTAATTTATTACGTAATATGAGAAATCGACTAGTATCAATATAGTCGATATTACTAGCCGATTATTAAGAACAATATTCTTTAATTAGAATTGGAATATAATATTAGCTTATGTTAGATATGAACCAAAAAAATCAATTTACGATGAAATAATTCTTAAATAATTTATTTAAGACTGTCATTTATACTACTTTTAATAAAGAACACTTGATTTCCCTGTAAGACAATTCTACAGTTTTGCAAAGATGCATATGTGTGTGTGTGTGGCCTGGGATTGTAGCTGTCACTTCGGTCCTTCTCAACAAGATAACAACTGTGTGGCCTGGGATTGTAGCTGTCATTTCCGTCCTTCCTCAACAAGATGACAATTGCAACACGATAACAACTGAAACAGACCCCACTTCATAATGTTGATTTTAAGTCCGGTCGTCTAAATTGTCGAAAACTTGGAGGTTGACGAAGACTTGACGTAGAATAAGAAGAGTTGCCCAATTGCAGGAGAAAGGGCCAAAAAAACAGAAAAACAAAAAACAAAAGAAAAATAATATTTCACTTCTTCGGAAAAAAATTCAGAGCATACCTTGTATATGCTAAAACGAAAGTCCGGTGAAACAGCCACCGTGTGTGCACTGTTCTTCAACATTACTTCAATTTTTTTTCAAAACCATCATTTTTATTCCTATATATTTGTAAATATTTCACTTTTATCCAGATAGTTTTAAAATTTTCAATATTATCCTTTTAGTTTTCTTATCCATATAACTTCACCAATATTTCACTTTTATATCTATAATTCAAATATTTTCAACATAAAACCTTAAGGTTTTAAAAAGTTACAATGTCATACCTAATTATTAATTTATTTTTTATTTTCAAGTTATTATTATTATTGTTATTATTATTATTTAGACTTTGTATGATAATGTGATTAATGCTACTTTACCACAACCATACTTACAAAAACTGGTTGGATATCAAAATCACACTCTACGATCCATCTTGATTTGAGGAAGTAATAATATATATATATATATATATATATATTTGTGCGTTTTGGGAGAGAATGTAGTTGAATTTATTATCATCTTTGGAAAACTTTTAACAATTTCTAAAATATCTACTATTATTTGACTATTTATTTTTAAAAAGTTAACAAAAAAAATTAAAGTAAAATGAGATGTTACTATTTTTTTACTATTTGAAACACCGTAAAATGTGAGACATTTTACTGTAGACACTCATTCAAAGTCACTATTTCTTTTACTATTTATCTTGTCTTGTTGCTTCTTTGTCATTTATTTTTTTCTCATCTATTTTCCACTATTAGACTATCCTTACCAGTTTTCAAAAGTATCTCTAAAAAAAGTGTATCCTTAAAACCCTAGAATTCTTTTATCTCTTTCTCTAAAATTGCAGTTGCACTCTACTCTTTCCATCTCTACCACCGCGACCTCACCATCTTCAAAGAACCTTTACTCTCATTCCTCAACAAACTCCTCCGTTCGCATGCATCGCTTCCACCTTCGCCCTTCCAAAATCGAAACCTAAACTCTTTGCGAAGCTCTAAAGTGACACTACTTCTCTCTCTCTAAAAATTAAGATGGAGTTTGTGGTAAAAAGAGGAGAGAAATGATGAGGAGATAGAGAGAAAGAAGATGGATGGTTATGGTAGGTTGGAAGTAAGAAAATTGATCTAATGTGATATATACATATATATATTTTTTATCTCTTCGTTTAAATCTTTTAACTTTCTTTCTTTCTAAAATTTCTCAATACATTTTTTTCAAAAGGCTTATTTTTTAGCCTAAAATGATGAATGTTCAAATTTTTACCGATAAAAGGAATGAAGAAGAGAAAAGGGTCATATATATATATATATATATATGGAAAATTTGGCTTTTGGACAAATACATTCAACCTAAAGCACTATGAGCGTTTTTTAGTGAATTCTTGGTAAGGGTGATGAATTCGATCGCATTTCTAGTTGAACTTGATAGTTAGGGTTCGTTATGCATGATTGTAAAAAGTATAGAGTTTCTATCGCGATTGCCCTGTTTTTATCATGTTTTTAGTTCAACTCTTTCGAGGTATTGCATTTTGATATGTGGATAGAATGGTTGAGACAAAATGAGGGGTTCAATGGGTTGGTTTGATAAGTTTGAGTTATTGCATGCTTCGAGGGCAAGGATGATCTAAGTGTGGGGGATTTGATAGTAATCGGAATAGATGTGTTTAATTACTCGATTCCCCTGTATTTTACTATTTTACAATGTCCAAATGTTAGTCTTTAAAGTCTTTTGTATTTTATATGGAATTGGTTGATAATTGTGTTAAAAGAGCCATGTAGAGGAAAGTGTTGATCAAAACCAATTTAGACGTTGAAAAACACGAAAAGCGTGGGCACGTTGCAACTTGACATGGGCACGTTGAAACCATAGAAATAGACAATAAACCTCAACTAGAAGAAACGGTCCGTTGTTATTTACTCAAAAATGAGACTCGAATTTTCTAAAAGAGAAGAGATAGGAGCGAAGATTTTTTATCCTTTTGGAAAATAGAAAACCCTTATAAATAGGAATATATCGAATAGGGTAGACACTTTTTTTGGGGATTGATTATTCTCATTGTAACTTTGAAAAGGATGGTCGGCTTTAGTTTTCTTATGACGGCTACCATTAATACTCGTCATGAGCAACTTAAACCCATTTTCTTGGTAGAGGTAATCGAAGCTTTTGGAAATCAAAGATTTTAAGGTGCTTACATATTAATGCAAATAAGTTTTTTATTTCAAGTATTAAACTTTCTTCTAGGCTTGTTTTCATCATTGTTTAAGTTGATTTCTAATATAGGCGAGTTAGTTATTAGCCGATATAATCTATAGCTAGATTAAATATAGAATATGTAATTGTTCAATCCTTTTAATTCTTGTAGCAACTAGGAGTATATGGTTTGCTACGTCGAAACTAATGACTCTTAGGAAGATTGTTTAACTAGATTAAATACGAATACATGTGTTGTGTTGTCTTGCTTTGTTATTTTTTTAATGCATAAAACTATTGTTTGATTAAATCTTAGATCGTATCTAAGATTGTTGAATAATAAGGATTAATTAGAATACAAGTTTCTAGTTGGCTAATCGTAAAAAAAGATTGATTTCAATATCACAATAAATATTTGAACGATAAACCGATATTTCTACGCATCAAGGATAAATCTTAAGTTTCAAAAGTTGATGTGACCTAAACTAAGGCTTATTTACTTGAATATCTATCTTAAATTTATTTTTTGGATTTAATGTGTTTAGTTTTAATTATATCCCAATCGAATCCAAAACCCCCTTTGATTTATTTCAGCTTCTTCTTGAATTGTAATGACTAACACAACAAAACTCTTCATGGGATCGATCCCTACTCTCCTTTTCTACATTTGTTTTTTAAGAGTTTAATTTGGGTGCATGCGATAGCCTTGTCAAATGTTAGCACCGTTGCGAGTGGAGTTCATAGTTGTTTACGTATACTACATTCAAAAGCTTCTCGGAAAACCTACAGCTTGATCCAAAAATTAAAAAAACCTATGAGAAGACTAAGAAAAACCATAAAATAAAGGCAAACCTAGCAGACGAAATAACTTTTGGAACTATGGAGAATACAACCGCAAACAAAACGCTAAAAGAGCTTGCTGCCTCGATTTGGATCAACAACCTTACTATATCAACTTTCTCAACTTTGATGCCAATATCCCTTTTTAATTAAAATCCGGGCTAAAACATCTTTTGCTTAGTTTTCATGGATTTGCAGATGAAGATCCTCATAAACACTTGAAAGAGTTTCATATGGTGTGTACGGGTATGAAGCGGAATGGAGTCACTAAAGAGCAAATCAAGTCGAAGGCATTTCCTTTCTTTTGAAGGATGATGCCTAATATTGGCTCTACTACCCACTCGTCGGGAGCATTACCACTTGGCACGAGATGAAGAGGTTGTTCTTGGAGAAAGTCTTTCCAACCTCAAGGCAACCAACATAAGAAAGGAGATTTGTGGTATTAGGTAACATAATGGAGAGTCGTTGTATGATTATTAGGAGTGCTTTAAAAAGCTCCGTACAAGTTGTCCACATCATCAAATCACAAATCAGTTGCTCATTCAATATTTATATGAAGGACTTTTGCCATCGGATCGAAGTATGATTGATATAGTAAGTAGTGGTGCTTTGGTTGACAAAACACCCGAAGAAGCCAAGACTTTGATTGCAAATATGGCATCAAACACATAGTAATTTGGAACTAGATTTGACTATGTCACTCGACGAGTCAATAAGGTAAATTCTTCTTCCCTTGAAAAACGTTTTAATGATCTTATTGCTTTTGTATTTCAATTGGCGACAAGAAAAATAGAAACAACAAAGGCTTATGGAACTTTTTAGTGATGAGACATTCAATGGACATGTATCTAACTCTCTAAGATGATAACATTAGACAAGTAAATGCTCGCAGTGGGTTTCTAGGATAGCCATAACAAAATTATAACCTTTTTTCCAACACATACAACTCGAGTTGGAAGGATCATCCTAACCTTCGTTATAGCAATATCTCGATTAATCAACCCAACATCTCTTTTTAGCCATTTAAGCAACAAGTACTCTCCTAGGTAGCATCCACATGGTTAAACTCTCGATTTAGGTATGTCTCTTAAAGATATTGTTAAAACTTGAAGCATCGATTGGGCCAATTGGCCACTCGTTGTCGATAGATTCGAAGCCTAAAATTCGAGCAAGCTACCCTCGTAAACATTAATAAATCTAAGAGAAAATGCAAGTGCGATTGTCTTGTGAAGTGAAAATGAGTTAGAGTAGCCAAATAAGGTGCCATTTACATCGATACAACGATAGAATCGAAGAAGAAGAAGAGTTGGCGAGTAAACCCCTCTAAAGAATGAAGAAGTGGCAGGTAAGTCTTTGCCATGAAAAGAATATTGAATTCCTCCTTTTCCTAATGCCTTTGTTTCCACTCGTAATTTTAGAAGCAATACCGACTTGTATGAGACATTTCAAAATTATGTAGTAAACATTTCACCGTTAGATATAATTAAGCAAGTACCTTGTTATGTAAATTTTTTGAAAGAATTATGTATAGTGAAAAGGAAGCAGAGGCTTAAAAGAGGTGAGATAATTAAGATAAGTGAAAATATTTCAGCAATCATACAAATAAACCTTCATGAGAAGTGCAAGGATCCGGGTATATTTTGTATTCCTTCAAGATCCTAGAATTACATTAGTATGAATGAAAGACTTGAGTTTGAAGAAGTTCTTACTTGGAGCTTGAGTAGATAGAGGTAGAGGCAAAGGATGTCTAATTTGATAGCGAGGTTGTTCCGGATGTGAAACTGTAAGAGTTGTCTAGGTGTAATTGGTTTAATTCCTCATTTTTTTAGGCCATTTAGTAAGGCTCTCACTCCTTTGTTGCTTACTTTTTCTTCAATTTCTCCCCCGATTCCTTTTCTCACTATTTTCTTTTTAATTGTGTTACAAACCGATTGCTATACCCTCTCCCAATTCCTTTTGTTATTCCCTCCTAATTCTTAGAAATACCTTAATTGCCTCTTCATAATTTTCTCAAGAATTTTCTCATTTTTAATCTCCCCTTCAAATCCTAAAAAGCTTCCTTATGTATACCTAAAAAGATATACCCAATACCCTTGGATTGATTCCCATTGATCTTAGCCCTCCTTAGTAAAAATCAAAACCTAAGCTCTTACAATTCTTGGCTATTTATAAGTGGAGCTAGATAAATTAAAATGCAATGTATGTGTGAAGGTCTAGGGTAAGTGTGGTATAGAGAGTGTGTTGAGATGGAAGTAGAGCTAGGTGTAAGGTTGTACATTTGTTATGGAGCAAGCATTATGCAACATGATTTTTGGTCGGTACAAATGCCAACAAAGAATTTTAGCATTGATTGGGTTTGTCTTCTCTTGTAAAGGATGAGGGATAATACTAGTAAAGGAGGGAAGAATGAATTGGAATGCTTGGAAAATTACTAGGAAAGTTTTGATGATAGGTTATTTGAGCAACTTTCGAATTTATCCCGTTATTTGTTCCTTCCTTTAATTTTGGTCCATGTTGCTTGAATTTTATCTCATTTATACCCCTTAGGGATAGAATTTTAGTCTCTATACTTTTCAAATTTTCAATTAATCCTAGAATCCCGTAATTATGGTTTTGGAGTTTTGGATTGATTCGATTATATCCTCAATTGCCTACTATAATCTCATATTTTATATTTTGATGTTTTAATTATATTTATTTTTTTGTTTTTTTTATTTGATTTCCTTTTGTTTTTATGAATGCCAATAATAAAAGTAAAAAGTAAAAATAAATAATAACAACTAATAAAATGGTAAAAAAGGAAAAAATCGAGGTTATGATAGCTAACCCCTCTTTACAATATTATGATGCAAATGCTAGTCGAAGTGTGAACTTCGGTTTGGATTTGCTTAATGAGCTTGTAAAGAAAAAAGAAGAAACAAATTAAATGGATACAATGACTTGATTGAAGGCGGTTTGTCCGCGAGAGTTTGATGATTTGTAAAATTAA